TCAGCCAACATCCATCATACATCAGCAATGGTATCCCTCATTCCACGGCCTCTTCTGAATCTGGCTGGAACCTCTGGAAGTTCTCTGTCAATGTATGCTTGCAGCCATTTCTGTATTACCTTTAGTAAAACTTTACTCGCATGTGTTACCAATGATATTGTCCAATGATTTCCGCATTCCATTGGGTCACCTCTCTTTGGAATGGGCACAAATATGGATTTCTTCCAATCAGTCGGCCAGATGGCTGTCTTCCAAATTCTTGGCAGAGATGAGTGAGTGCCTTTTGTGCCACCTCAATTTCTTGAAAGATTTCAATTTTTATTCCATCAATTCCTGGAACCTTGTTCTTTGCCAATTCCTTCAATGCACCTTGGATTTCTTCCTTTCGCCACTAACATTACCATCATCATTGTCATGACCATCATCACCATCACCACCACCACTACCATCATCAGTATCATTATCATCATAGTCACCATTGTTGTTATATGCCGTGGAGTCGGTTCTGACTCATAGTGACCCTGTACAGGGTTTCCGAGGCTGTAAATCTTTACGGGAGCAGAAAGCCTCATCTTTCTCCCGCGGAACAGCTGGTAGTTTTGAACTGTTGACCTTGAGACTAGTAGCCTTATTCGTAACCTCTATGCTACCAGAGCTCATCATTTTTATCAACATCATCACCATCATTATCATTATCACTGACATCATCATCATCATCACCAACACAGTTATCATTAATGACATCAGCACTATCAACATCACCAATATTGCTATCACTATCATCAGTATCATTACCATCATAATCACCATTACCATCATTTTTACCAACATCATCACCATCATGATCTTTATCACTGAGATAATCCTCATTACATCTTTATCATCACCATCATTTCCATCATCCTTATCATTAATATCATCACCATCATCATCTTCCTCTGTGAGTTTCAATGCTATCATCTGCAAAATGGGGATGTTCTTGCTATGATCAGTGCTGAGTAACTGGCAAGAGCAGGACCTCAATAAGCAGTAGCTGTTTGTGATTCAGTGATGTGGTGACTGCAACAATGGGCTCACACAGAGCAATGATTGGTGAGGATGGCACAAGGCTGTTGTGATGAGTTGGAACTGACTTGAAGGCACCTACCAAACAGCAAGAACACTTGTGATGCCCTCAGTGGTGAGATTAGAGCTCTTCTTCCCTTGGGCAATGTCTTTTTTTTTTTTTTTTCAGGGGGAGGATGTACACAAGAACACTCAGGAATATATAATAATTTAAACAACCTAATGGCACATTCTGCAAGCCTGCCTCCTGGCTGCCAGCTCTCAGTCCCTCTCTTTCCATGAATTTAGAATCTTCCGCTGCTCTTTCTCTCCATGTCTTCATCTCTGCCTCCATCTCTGGTGTCGCTGCTTCTCTGGATAGGGTCTTTGGGCAATTTCTTATTGGTGGTTGTTGTTAAGAGCCGTCAAGTTGGTTCCGACTCATAGCCACCCTGATTAGGGCTTCCAATGAGTGACTGGTGTGTCTGAACTGCCACCTTGTGGTTAGCAGTCCAGTGCTTATTCTATGGTGCCACAGCAGGACTC